AACATGCCAGCGTCCACCCCACGGCACCACCCACACCTGAGCTGGGGATCACACAGCATCCCAGCGTCCACCCACAGTACCACCCACACCTGAGCTGGAGAAAAGAGCATCCCAGTGTCCACCCCACGGCACCACCCACACCTGAGTTGGGGATCACACAGCATCCCAACGTCCACCCACACTACCACCCACACCTGAACTGGTGGACACAGCATCCCAGTATCCAGCACACAGCCCCACCCAACCTGAGCTGGGGGACACAGCCTCCCAGTGTCAACCCACGTCACCACCCTCACCTGATCTGGACACAGGAAATCCCAGCGTCCACCCACAAAACCACCCACACCTGATCTGGAAAACAGAGCATGCCAGTGTCCACCCACAGTACCACCTACACCTAGGCTGGGGGACACAGCATCCCAGTGTCCACCCACACAACCACCCACACCTGAGCTGAGGGACACAGCATCCCAGTGTCCAGCCCATGGCACCACCCACACCTGAGCTGGGGCACACAGCACCCCAGTGTCCACCAACGGCAGGTCAAGGTCAGGCTGTGAGGGGCAGGAAGGCCACAGAGGTCAATGTGGAAGCTCCAGGCAGAGAAGCTGCCCCAACAGGTCTCAAGTCTAAGTAACCGCTCCTGGGGCCAGCACCAGGTGGCATAGTGGGCAAATCCGTCGCATACAGTCCCAGCACCCCATCTGGGCACGAGCTCGAGTCCCGGCCGCCCCACCTACGATCCGGCTCCTGGCTACAGCCCGGGAAAGCAGCGGAAGATGGCCCAAGTCCTTGGGCCCCTGCACCCGCACAGGAGACCCGGAGGAAGCCCCCGGCCCCTGGCCTCAGATCAGCCCAGCTCCAGCTATTGTGGCCAACCAGGGAGTGAACCAGCGGATGAAGACTTCTCTCTCTCTCTCTTTAACTCTTCCAACAACAAAAAAATAAATAGATAAATAGCTCCATGGGCCAGTGTTGGGCACAGCAGTGAGGCTGCCACCTGTGCGTCCTTAATCCTGTGGGACACTGGTTCAGGTCCCGGCTACTCCACCTCTGCTCCAGCTCCCTGATGATGGCCCAGGAAAGCACCAGAAGATGCCCAAGAGCTGGGACCCCTGCACCCACATGGAGAGCTGAATGAAACTCCTGGCTTTGGCCTGGCCCAGCCCCAGCTGCCGGGGCCATCTAGGGAGTGAACCAATGGATGGAAGCTCTCTTTGTTTGTCTCTCCCTCTCTGAAACGCTTCCAAATAACACAATAAATCTTTTTTTTCAGACAGAGTTAGGCAGAGACAGAGAGAGAGACAGAGAGAAAGGTCTTCCTTTTCTATTGGTTCACCCCCCAAATGGCTGCTACCAAAGGCTCCCTGTGCCGATACGAAGCCAGGAGTCAGGTGCCTCTCCTGGTCTCTCATGTGGGTGCAGGGCCCAAGCACCTGGGCCATCCTCCACTGCACTCCTGGGACACAGCAGAGAGCTGGCCTGGAAGAGGGACAACCGGGACAGAATCCGGCGCCCTAACTGGGACTAGAACCCAGGGTGCCGGCGCCACAGGTGGAGGTTTAGCCTACTGAGCCACGGCACCGGCCCACGATAAATCTTAAAAGAAAAAAGGAAACAGACCAGGCGTCTCTCCAGTGCCATAAGACTTCCTGCAGGCATCAGGAGAGGGCGTAACAGACAAGTGCAGGGGGCAGTGGTGAGCTTGGGGCACGGAGGCGGTGGTGTCGTGAGAGCACAGTGCTGGGGACCGTGGTGAGCTGGGGGCCATGTTGGAGCACAGTGCTAGGGGCCGTGGTGGAGTACAGTGCTGGGGGCAGTGGTGAGCTGGGGGCCGTGGTGGAGCACAGTGCTGGGGGCTGTGGTGAGCTAGGGGCTATGGTGGAGCACAGTGCTGGGGCCATGGTGGAGCACAGTGCTGGGGCCATGATGGAGCACAGTGCTGGGGGCCGTGAAGGAGTACAGTGCTGGGGGCCATGGTGAGCTGGGGGCTGTGGTGGAGCAGAGTGCGGGGACAATGGTGAGCTGGGGGCCATGGTGTCCTGAGAGCACAGTTCTGGGGGCCGTGGTGAGCTGGGGGCCATGGTGGAGCACAGTGCGGGGGAAGTGGTGAGCTGGGGGCCATGGGGGAGCACAGTGCGGGGGCAGTGGTGAGCTGGGGGACATGGTGGAGCACAGAGCAGAAGGCGGTGGTGACCTGCAGGTCATGGTGAGCTGGGGGCTGTGGTGGAGCACAGTGCGGGGGAAGTGGTGAGCTCGGGGCCATGGTGTCCTGAGAGCGCAGTGCAGGGGACAGCTCACCGCGGCCGCCAAGATCACTGCCACCTCTGCACTGAGCTCCCAGGGGCCAGACCCCCAGGTAGGGGGTAGAACACCTCTGGAGAACACGACTAGCCCTAAGAGAAGCCTAAACAGGGGCCGCGGGGCCTCATTAAGGCCTGGGCAGATGACCCACCAAAGGCAGATCCACACGCACCTCCCGGGCAGCCAGCTCAGAGCGGGGTGGAAGGCGATGTTTGCTGAGTCACAGCAGGGCCCGAGGTGGGGGCTCAAGTCCTCATGTCCCTGCTCCCACCCCAGACCAGGTGGAGCTCCCGGCTCCCAGCTGTTGTGGGTGTTTGGGAGTGAGCCAGTGAACGGAGCTATCTCTTTCACTCTTTCCAATAAATAAAAAGAAAGCTAAAAAAACGAAACCAAACCCTGCCATCACACACACACAGGACACTCCATGTGGCATCAGGGTTCCATGTGGCACCTGCTGGGGTCGCTCTCAGGAAACCGGCCATCCCCCCCTCCCCAGGAAACCAGGGGTGCAGCCCTGCACCTGCTCCCGACTCTTCCCAGGTGGCGTCTGCAGTCCCCGCTCATGGGCTCACCCACCACCACATCTGCCTCTGCCCCTTCTCACTAGGACGAGGTTGTGACACAGCGGGCTCACCAGGACCCGGGCATCCTGGCCCTCATCTGGGAGCCTGGGCCACACTCCCCGTCTCCTCTCCAGGGCATGGGCCCCCCTCCCTTCCCAGCCCTCCAGGCCGGGCCCCACTACCCTCAGTGCCCGATAGGGCCAGACCCTGTGCCACTACTCGTCTTACTGGGCCTAGCCCTGCTCCCCTTTTTGCCCTCCAGGGCCAGGCCCTGCTCTTCTCAAAGCCCTCCAGAGCTGGACGCCAATCTCCTCCTCACCCTTCAGGGCCTGGGCCCCACTCCCTCCTCGCCCTCCAGGGCCTGGGCCCCCACCAATTGCACCTCGCCAAGGCCGGGCCCCTTCCCAATGCATCCCAACAGGGAAGGGCCACAATATCCTCAACACCCTATAGGGCCAGACCCTGCTCCCCTCCTAGACCTCCAGGGCCTGGGCTCCACTCCAATTCTCACCCTCCAGGGCCTGGGTCGCATACCCCTCCTCACCCTCCATGGCCTGCGCCCCATTCCCCTCACCCTCCAGGACATGGGCCCCACTCCAATTCTCTCCCTCCAGGGCTCAGCCCTGCTCCCAACCTTGCAATCCAAGGTCAGACCCCACTCTCCTCCTCACACTTCAGGACCTGGAACCTGCCCCCCACACTGCTCTCCAGGGCTGGGCCCCACTCCCCTCAAGGCACCCCAGGACCAGACACTGCCACCCTCCTCGCCCTCCAGGGCCTGGGCACGCTCTGCTAGCTGCCCTCCAGGGCTGGACACTGCTTCCCCTCCTTGCCTTCCAGGGCCTGACACCACTGCCCTCAAGGCCCTCCAGGGCTGGATCCTGCTCCACTCCTAAACCTCCAGGGATTGGGCTCTACTCCCTACGCTGCCATCCATGGCCCAGCCCCACGCCCCTCAACGCCCTCCATGGCCGGACCCCACACCCCTCCTCACCCTCCAGGGCCTTGGCCCCATTCCCCTCCTTGCCCTCCAACGCCAGTGCCAGCTCTCCTCCTCACCCTCCAGGGTTGACCTGACACTTTCTTGTTGAGAAAAATAAAGCAGAGGAAAACAGACAATATTGCAGGGAACCGAACCTTTTATTCTGTAACAGGGTTAGGTCCAGAAAGGTCTCTGGACCTTGGACAATCTCTGCTTTGATTTGGAAACATTTCTCATGGCTTGGTGAGGTCTCAACAGTGAGGCTGTGAGCATGAAGTGGCCTTTGTCCTTTGTCCTATAGACTGTGTCCTTTCGTGTATGTCCTATGTCTTGTGTCCTGTAGGTCCACGGTCCAGAGACCTTTCTGGATCTAACCCTGTTACAGAATAAAAGGTTCGGTTCCCCGCAATATTATCTCTTTTCCTCTGCTTTATTTTTCTCAACAAGAAAGTGTCAATTCAACCAGTGGTGGGTGAGGAGGAGAGCAGGCACTGGACTTTGTCCTTTGTGACATAGGTCACAGGACACATGCTACAGGATGGAGGCCACAGGCTACAGGACATAGGCCAAAGGCTACAGTACACAGGACACAGGCTACAGGAGATAGGACAGAGGACACAGGACACAGGCTACAGGACACAGGACATAGCCCAGACGACACAGGACACAGGATATAGGACACAGAATATGGAACCCAGGACACAGCCTAGAGGACACAGGCTACGGGACACAGGTTGCAGGACACAGGACATAGGCGACAAGCTACAGGACACAGGACAGAGGCTACAGGACACAGGCTACACAATCTAGGACACAGGCCACAAGACACAGGACACTATCCTATAGCCAGTGTCCGGTGTCTTGTTCCCTCTCTCTTTCAGCCTGTGTCGTGTAGCCTGTATCCTGTGTCGTGTAGCCTGCAGCCTGTATCCTTTGTTCTGTGGTCTGTCCTGTGTCCCATAGCCTCTGTCCTGGATCCTCTGTCATGTGTCCTGTGTCCTATGTTGTATAGCCTGTGTCCTGAATCTTGTACCCTGTGGCCTATGTACGCATCCTGAATCTTGTGGCCTCTGTCCTGTAGCCTGTGACCTCTGTCCCCTAGCCTGTGTCCTGTGTCCTGAGCCTGTGGCATGTAGCTTTTGTCCTAGTGCTGGTGTCCTCTTTGCTGTAGTCTGTGTCCTGTGTCCTGAAGCCCATTTCTTGTAGCCTGTGGACAATGTCCTGTAGTGTGTGTCCTGTGTCCTGTAGCCTGTTCTCTGAGCTCTGGGGCCTAGGTCCTGTAGCCTGTATCCTGTGATGTTTGTCATATGTTGTGTAGCCTGTGTCCTGTAATCTATGGCCTATGTCCTGTGGCCTATAGCCTGTAGCCTTTGGCCTTTTCCATGCAGGCTTTGTCCTGTGTCCTGTGGCCTCTGTCCTATAGCTGGTGTCCTGTGTCTTGTTTCCTCTTTCCTTCAGCCTGTGTCATGTAGCTTGTGTCCTGTATCGAGTATGCTGTGTCCTGTAACCTGTGTCCTGTAGCTTGTAGTCTGTATTCCTTAACCAGTGTCCTGTATTCTGTGTCCTGTATCCTTTGTTGTGTATCCTGTGTCCTGTAGCCCGGCTCCTGTAGCCTGTGGACTATGCCATGCAGCCTTTGTCCTGTGGCCTGTGGCCTTTGTCATATAACCTGTGTCCTGTGTCTTGTTTCCTGTGTCATGTAGCCTGCGTCCTCTGTCTTGTAGCCTATGGCCTATGTATGCATTGAGGATCCTGTGTCCTGTGTCCTGTAGCCTCTGTCGTGCGTCCTGTGTCCTGTGTCCTATGTCTTGTATCCTGTGTTCTAAATCCTGTGGCCTCTAGATGTAACCTATGTCCCATAGCCTGTGTTCTAGCCTGTGTCCTGGGTTCTGTGTTCTGTGTCCTGTATCCTGTGTCCTGTATCTTCTGGCCTATGCCCTGAATGCTGTAGCTTGTGTTCTATCTTGTGTAGCCTGTGTCCTGTAGCCTGTGTGCTGTAGCCTGTGTTCATGTCCTCAACCCTGTGTCCTGTGTTCTGTAGTCTGTGCTATATCCTGTAGCTGTGGCCTTTGTCCTGTGGCCAGTGTACTTTACACTTTGGCCTCTGTGCTTTGTCCTGTAGCCAGTGTCCTTGTCCTTTAGCCTGCTCATGTACCCTGATCCATTATCCTGTATCCTGAGCCCTTAGCCTGTCCCTGTGTCTTGTAGCCTGTGTCCTGTGTCCTATGTTGTTTAACATGAGTCCTGGCTCCTGTAGCCTGTAACCTCTGTCCTGTAGCTTTTGGCTCATGTCCTGTAGCCTGTAACCTGTGTCCAGTAGCCTGTGTCCTGTGTTCGGTATTCTGTGTCCTATGTCCTGTGTCCTGTGTTGTCTGGGCTATGTCCTGTGTCCTGTAGCCTGTGTCCTGTGTCATATGTTTCTTAGCCTTTGTCCTGTCTCCTGTAGCCTCTAACCTGTGTCCTGCAGCCTTTGGCTCATGTCCTGTAGCCTGTAACCTGTGTCCAGTAGCCTGTGTCCTATGTCCTGTGTCCTGTGTCATCTGGGCTATGCCCTGTGTCCTGTAGCCTGTGGCCTATGTGCTGTAGCCTGTGTCCTGTGGCCTCTGTCCTGTGTCTTGAGTCCTGTAGCCTGTATCTTATGCCCTTGTTCTGGGTCCTGTAGCCTGTGTATTGTGTCCAGTAGTCTGTGATGTCACAGGACACAGGCTACAGCACAGAGGCCACAGGCTACAGGACACAGGACACAGTCTATAGGACAAGGGACACAGGCTACAGGACAGAGGCCACAGGACACAGGACACAGGACATAGCCCAGATGACACAGGACACAGGATATAGGACACAGAATATGGAACCCAGGACACAGCCTAGAGGACACAGGCTACGGGACACAGGTTGCAGAACATAGGACATAGGCAACAAGCTATAGGATACAGGACAGAGCCTACAGGAGACAGGACACAGGCCACAGGACAGTGGCTACAGGACACAGGCTACAGGACACTCTATCCTATAGCCAGTGTCCGGTGTCTTGTTCCCTCTCTCCTTCAGCCTGTGTCGTGTAGCCTGTGTCCAGTGTCGTGTAGCCTACGGACTGTATCCTTTGTTCTGTAGCTCTGTCCTGTGTTTCATAGCCACTGTCCTAGACCCCCTATCCTGTGTCCTGTGTCCTATTTGTGTAGCCTGTAACCTGTGTCTTGTATCCTTTGGCCTATGTACGCATTCTGAGTCCTGTGGCTTCTGTCCTCTAGCTGGTGTCCTGTGTCCCCTAGCCTGTGTCCTGTGTCCTGAGCCTGTGGCCTGTAGTTTTTGTCCTAGTGCTGGTGTCCTCTTTGCTGTAGTCTGTGTCCTGTGTCGTGTAGCCCGTTTCTTGTAGCCTGTGGACAATGTCCTGTAGTGTGTATCCTGTGTCCTGTAGCCTGTTCTCTGAGCTCTGGGGCCTAGGTCCTGTGGCCGGTGGCCTGTGACCTTGGCCTTTGTCCTATGTCGTGCAGCCTGTGTCCTGTAGTCTGTGGCCTATGTCCTGTGGCCTATACCCTGTAGCATGTGTTCTTTGTCCTCAATTCTTTGTCCTATGTCCTGTAGCCAGTGGCCTTTGCCCTGCAGCCTTTGGCCTGTGTCCTGTGGCCTCTATCCTATAGCCAGTGGGCTGTGTCTTGTTCCCTCTTTCCTTCATTCTGTGTCGTGTAGCCTGTGTCCTGTGTCGTGTATTCTATGTCGTGTATCCTGTGTCCCATAGCCTGTGTCCCGTACCTGTGTCCTGTATAATGTGTCCTGCAGCCTGTGTCATGTGCCCTGTTTCCTGTAGTCTGTATCCTTTAACCAGTGTCCTGTAATCTGTGCCCTGTGTCCTATGTTGTGTATCCTCTGTCCTGTAGCCCATCTCCTGTAGCCTGTGGACTATGCCATGCAGCCTTTCCTGTGTCCTGTGTCCTCTGTCCTAGAGCCTGTGTCCTGTGTCTTGTTTCCTGTGTCCTTCAGCCTGTGTCATGCAGCCTGCATCCTCTGTGTTGTAGCCTGTGGCCTATGTATCCATTGAGTATCCTGTGTCCTGTCCTGTAGCCTCTGTCCTGTGTCCTGTGTCCTATGTCTTGTATCCTGTGTTCTAAACCCTATGGCCTATAGTGTGTAACCTATGTCCCTTAGCCTGTGTTCTAGCCTGTGTGCAGGGTTCTGTGTTCTGTGTCCTGTATACTGTGTCCTGTATCCTCTGGCCTATGCCCTGAAAGCTGTAGCTTGTGTTCTATCTTGTGTAGCCTGTATCCTGTAGCCTGTGTGCTGCAGCCTGTGTCCATGTCCTCTACCCTGTGTCCTGTGTTCTGTAGTCTGTGTCCTATATTCTATAGCTGTGGCCTTTGTCCTGTGGCCAGTGTGCTGTACACTGAGGCTCAGTCCTGTGACCTGTAGCCAGTGTCCTCGTCCTTTAGCCTTTGTCCTGTGTCCTGTAGCCTGGGTCCTGTGTCCTGTATCCTGAGCCCTGTATCCTGTCCCTGTGTCCTATAGCCTGTGTCCTGTGTCCTATATTGTTTAGCCTTTGTCCTGTCTCCTGTAGCCTGTAACCTGTGTCCTGTAGCCTGTGGACTATATCCTGGAGCCTGTAACCTGAATCCCATAGCCTGTGTCCTGTGTTCAAAATTCTGTGTCCTATATCCTGTGTCCTGTGTCATCTGGGCTATGTCCTGTGGTCTGTAGCCTGTGGCCTAATTCCTGTGTATTGTGGACTATATCCTGTATCATGTAACCTGTGTCCCATAGCCTGTGTCCTGTGTTCGGTATTCTGTGTCCTATATCCTGTGTCCTGTGTCATCTGGGCTATCCTGTGTCCTGTAGCCTGTGGTCTCTGTGCTGTAGCCTGTGTCCTTTGGCCTGTGTCCTGTGTCTTGAGTCCTATAGCCTGTGTCTTATGTCCTGTGTTCTGGGTCCTGTAACCTGTGTATTGTGTCCAGTAGTCTGTGATGTCACAGGACAGAGGCCACAGGCTACAGGACACAGGACCAAGGCTACAGGACAGAGGACACAGGCTACAGGACAAAGGACATAGCCCAGATGACACAAGACACAGGATATAGGACACAGAATATGGAACCAGGACACAGCCTAGAGGACACAGGCTACGGGACACAGGATGCAGGACACAAGACATAGGCGACAAGCTACAGGACACAGGACAGAGGCTACAGGACACAGGACACAGGCTACACAATCTAGGACACAGTCCACAGGCCACAGGACAATGGCTATGGGACACAGGCTACAGGACACTCTATCCTATAACCAGTGTCCGGTGTCTTGTTCCCTCTTTCCTTCAGCCTGTGTCGTGTAGCCTGATTCCTGTGTCGTGTAGCCTGTGGCCTGTATCCTTTGATCTGTAGTTCTGTCCTGTGTCCCATAGCCTCTGTCCTGAGCCTCTGTCCTGTGACCTGTGTCCTATGTATATAGCCTGTGTCCTGAGTCCTGTAGCCTGTCCTTATGTCCTGTAGCCTGTGTCCTGTGTCCTATGTTTTTTAGCCTTTGTCCTGTCTCCTGTAGCCTGTAACCTGTGTCCTGTAGCCTTTGGCCCATGTCCTGAGCCTGTAACCTGTGTCCTGTATCGTGTGTCCTGTGTTCGGTATTCTGTGTCTTATATCCCTTGTCCTGTGTTATCTGGGCTATGTCCTGTGTCCTGTAGCCTGTGGCCTCTGTGCTGTAGCCTGTGTCCTGTGGCCTATGTCCTGTGTCTTGTGTCCCATAGCCTCTATCTTATGTCCTGTGTTCTGTGTCATGTAGCCTGTGTCCTGTGTCCCATAGCCTGATTTCTAGCCTGTGTCCTTGGTTCTGTATTCTGTGTCCTCTATCCTGTGTCCTGTTTCCTCTGGCCTATGCCCTGAATCCTGTAGCCTGTGGCCTGTGGCCTCTGTCCTGTGTCCTGTAACCTGTGTTCTGTAGCCATATCCAATATCCTGCACCACAGCATACAGCACACCGGCCACAGGACAAAGGCCACAGCTACGGGACATAGGCCACGGAATACAGGACACAGGCTACATGACACAAGACAGAGGCCACAGGCCACAGGTCACAGGCCACAGGACATAGGATCCAGAGCACAGGGCACAGGCTACAGGACACAGGACACAGACTACAGGACATTGTCCACAGGCTACAAGAAACCAGCTTCAGTACACAGGATATAAGCTACTATAAAGAGACACCAGCTTTAGGACAAAGACTACAGGACACAGGCCATAGGACACAGGACACAGGCTCAGGACACAGGACACAGACTACAGGACACTCGACACAGGCTCAGGACACAGGCTCAATACACGGGACACAGGCTAGGGGACATAGGACACCAGCTAGAGGACAGAGACCACAGGACACAGGTTGCATACATAGGCCACAGGCTACAAGACACTGGACACAGGCTACACAACATAGGACACGGGACACAGGACTGAGGCTACAGGACACAGAATATGGAACACATGACACAGCTACAGGACACAGATCACAGGATACAAGACATGGGACACAGAGGATAGGATATAGCCTATAGGACAAAGGACAAAGGAAACAGACTATCAGACATAATACAAAGGCTACAGGACACTGAACACAGGACATAAGACACAGGCTACAGGACACAAGACACAGGATATGGGCCACAGGAAATAAGCTACAGGACACAAGACACAGGCAACATGACACAGGCTAAAGGACAGAGGGAACAAGACACAGGACACCAGCTAGAGGACAGAGGCAACACTACACTGGACACAGGACATAGGCCACAGGACACATGCAGAAAGAAACAGGCCAGTGGACACAGGACACAGGACAAAGGACACAGGCTATAGGACACATGCTATCGGACACAGGCAATGGGACACTGGCTACAGGACAAGGACACAGGCCACATGAAAAGGCTAATGGACATAGGACACAGGATAGAGGACACAGGCTACAGCACACAAGCTACACTCTATAGGACAAGCTATAGGTCACAAGTTATAGGAAAGAAGACAGAAGCCACAGGACACACACACTAGCCACAAAACAGGACACAGGACACAGGCTACAGGACACAGGCTGTAGAACATAGGACACAGGATACAGGCCACAGGACACACGCCTACAACACAACACACAGGCTACAAGATACAGGCTACACAACACAGAACACAGGCGAAAGGACTCAGGCTACAGGACACAGGACAGATTTCAGGACACAGGTCACAGGCCACAGGACATAGGCTCCAGAGCACAGGCAGGGCCCTGGCCACGCTCCAGTGACATGCCCCTCTCTCCTCCTTGCCCTCCAGGGCCATGATCCCCTCAGGCAGGGCCCTGGCAACCCTCTAGGGCTGGGCTCCTTCTCCTCTCCATGCCCTACAGAGCCAGCCCTGCTCCCTTCAGTTGTGGCACTAGACACCCAGCAGGGCTGCCCCACTCTCCTTGTCCTCCAGGGCCTGGGCCCCACTCCCCTAGTTGCCCACCAGGGCCTGGGCCCAGCTCCCATTGCTGTCCTTCAGGGCCAGGCCCTGCTCCCCTCACCACATTCCAGAGCTGGGCCCCAATCCCCTCCTCAGCCTGCAGGGTCGGGCCCTTCTCCCCTCAGGCCCATCCCTGGCCTCCCTCCAGGGCCAAACTCTGCTCCCCTCCTCACCTCCAGGGCCAGTGTTCCCCTCCTCATGCTCCAGGGCTGGCACTGTCGCTCCCCGTCTTCATGGAGGAACGACACAGGACCCTGCGCTGTTCTTTTGTCTGCTCGGCCCTCCCCGGGTTTGCTGCTGGTTCTTCCCGGGTTGGCTACCGACCCTTCCACCTCCGTGGAAGGGCGGTTCCCCCTGCCACATTCCCCACTTCCGCGGGGGAGCGGCACACCGCCGGCCGGCTCTCTCGGGGGCTGCACAGGTGTTCCTTCAGATAGATGTTCCTGGTGCATGTTGTCTCTCTCCTCCTTTATAGTCCTCTTCCACCAATCCCAATTCTGCTACCCACATGCCGAGTACGCTGCTCTCCTCCAATCAGGAGCAAGATCAGCTCCTGCAGCTCAGTCAATCAAGTTGGTGAGAGGCAGCTGGGTAGAAGCTGTTTGCTCCTCTCCCAGCGCCATATTGTGGGAGAGCAGATGTATAGAATAACTCTTAATTCCAGTAACAGTATAGTCCAAGTTGCTCCCCACAGGCACCAATCTCCTCCTCGCACTCTTGGTCTGGCTCTGCTCCCCTCCTCCCCATCCACAGCCAGGCCCTTCTCCCCACAGGCCCATCCCTGTCCTCCCTCCAGAGCCAGACCCCGCTTCCCTCCACACCTTCAGGGCCAGCCCCTGCTCCGCTCCTGGCCTTCCAGGGCCTGGGTCCCGTACCTCTCCTTGCCCTGCAGAACCTGGCACCCACTCCAACCTTCACAATCCAGAGCCTGGGCCCCACTTCAGGGCTTCCCTACAGGGACAGGCCCCACTAACCTCAACACCATCAGGGCCAAACCCTGCTCCCCTCCTTGTCCTCCACGACCTGGCCCAGCTGCCCTCCTCACCCTCCAGGGCCTTACCCTGCTCACCTCTTACCTTAAGTGGCTGGGCCCGGCTCCCATTGCTGCCAATAAGTCACTGGTGTCACTCGGTGGTCCCTAGCAGCCACTGCCTCCATCTTTGTGCGCCCCTGCTGTCACTGCAGCATTGGGCAGCCCGCACGGTTCCCCAGCACCTGCCACTTCATGGCCTGCCTTGGCTGCCTCCTTCTGCTCCCTCAGGCACACCGAGTGAGGCCACATCTTTATGCCCCAGTGCAGCCACCAGGAGCCACCCGTCATGGGGCCCCCAGCACGGTCCCCAGCAGCCTCCCTATGATTGCCCGAGGATTCTTCCTACTTCTTCTTGGGCTCCCCTGTGGTTATCTGGGCCCTCTTGTAACTCCCAGGCCCCACCACACGGCCCCCAGGCCCCACCAGCTCCTTCCCTGGGCACTCCCACTGCCACTGAATCACTAGGTCACCACGTGGACCCCAGAAGCTGCCTCCTCCTTCCTCGCCCCCCCACAGCAGCTGAGTTTTAGGACCCCCCATTCTCCCAGAAGTCGCTGAGTCTTTGAGGTTCGCGCTGCCACTAGCAGTCATTGCCTCTGTCCTCCGGCACTCCTGCTGTCCCTGCATCATGTCTGAACTTGGAAATGAGGCTCTACAAAGGGGGTCTCAACTAACTCTCTTGTGGCCAAAGTTTGAGGGTGGGCAAGTGCAGAACTGTTGAATGTGCAGAGGGGGAACGTGGGTGTGGCCTGAGGATAGAAATTTTCCCTGGGAGTCACCTTCAGGAGCATGGCTCTGGGAAGGAATGACTTCCAACATGTTCTTTGGCAAAGAAAAACCTGAGCAGGAAAACGGAAAGCATGGGCACGAGTTAAGGTGCCAGGTGACTTCTTCCCAGACATGTGGGTCCTGAGTTCTTTGGGGCACACAGGAAGACAGCTCAATGGGAGAGGCCACCTCGGTCTGCAATGCAGGCTCCTCAGTTCAGATCTAGGAGGTCTAAGTTGTCGCAGGAGTTTCTCATCCAGGGACCTGGGAACTTGGGCTTCGAGAAGGAAACTCAGGGTGAGAAGACTTCCCAGGGCAGAGAGCCACCTGAGCACAGAGTGCAGGCAATAATCAAAGACAGAATAAAGTGGGAGGAGGACAAAGAGTGTCATCCAACGTGGGCCCTGTATCTTACAACCAGCATCCCACACCAATCGCTTTGAACTGGCTCGGAGACCTGGGGAATCTAAAAGATAAATGACCATGTAGAAGATCAGGGGTTTTCCAAACACCAGAGGAGCAGTCTGCCTTACTCACCTTTCCCATGGAGCTGAGTCCCTCCACGTCACAGCACCAACGATGCTGCAGGAACTTCAAGTCCATTCTTTCTCTCACATAATCCCAACACGGATCATGAGGGTGAGGGAGAAAAAGCAAAATAGGTTTTCGTGAGAAAATCATACTCTTGCAAGCCAGAAGGGAGACTAAGGGAGGGGCCCAATAAGGCCTGGGTATAGGAAGTTTAACTAGGGAGTGATGTTCATGGATTAATATTCTAAACAAAATCCAGCACCATGTTCTGTGTTAGAAAAAGGTCATGACCCCTAACCATGAAAACATGTTTCCTGATGGCCATCTGAAAAATGTAACACTATATCTTCCCTCTCTGCCTGCAGTTTCTCTTACTGCCTCCTCACCTGCCCTCCTCCCAGACAGGAGTCACTGACTACCCTTCATTGCTACACTCCTCAGGGAAGGGCCCCTCCTCGGGGGCATTTCCCAAGAGGCTACTGAGAGGGCACTTTCCTCTCTGCACTCAAGGGCTTTCCTCTGGGGCTGGCAGGACACAACACATCCAGCTGAAGCATTGGATGATCCTCCTGCCAATCCCCAGGCGCCCCTTGCGCTTTCTGGCCTGCCTGTCTGAGGTCCCTGCCTCCTGCTCCTCCTCCTGCTGCTGCATTCCTGGGATGCTCTGCTCCTCTGAGGCACCCGGGGAGCAGCTCCTGACTTCTCCATCAGCCCCACTGCTGTTGGTGCTCAGTGTGGTGGAGAGAGAGGTCAGAGCATCCTGGCTGAGGACTGCACAGACAGCGGGGCTCCTTGTCCACACGGCCCGTTGGGGACTGTCTGTCCTGCAGGACTCACTGCTGCTCACACTGGGAGTCCCACGGAAAGGAGTCTGCCCCGACTGGTCTCCTGCAAGCACCAGTGGTTGGGAGCTGAGAGCGGCACACTCACGGGCTCTGCTGTTGCAGCCTGAGTGTCCCTGGAGGCACTGGAGAGCGGGACAGCTCTGAGCACAGGGGATGGCCTGAGGTGTGGGCTTCCCTTTGCTGTGATCCTGCTGAAGTCCTGGGCACAAGGCACTGGCTGGGAGCCTGGGTGGCAGGGAGCCTGCTTGATGGCCCAGCTGGAATCCCAGGTCCTCAAGGGAGCTTAGGGCTTCAGGACCCTGAGGAGGTGCTGCAGGCTCCACTTGGCTCTGCCCATGTATTTCTGGGATGCTGAAGCCCTGCTGTTGGGAGATCCCCCAGCGTGGCACAGGGGGCAAGGGGTCATCCCATTCATGAAGCCACAGTGGAGGGCAGAGGCCCCATGGGAATTCCCAGACTTCCTGCTCCTGGGAAGAAACAGAAACTCGTCACTGGGTTCAGGTGCTCAATGTCCTGCATGAAGCCATGGGTGGCCCATGATGTCTGCCACTGTGGGCCTGGCCTCAGGGTCCCGGGTCAGTAAGCTGTCCACCAGGTTACACAGCTCTGGGTTTCCATAGTGGGGGATTCTGTAGTATCCAGACAGGATGGCTGCCCGCAGCTCCACACAATCCTCTCCAACAAAAGGCAGTGAGCCTGCCACCATGGCGTACAGGATCACGCCCACACTCCAGGCATCAGCCTTGTACCCGCAGAACTCCTCACCTAAGAATTCCTCAGGCGCACAGTAGGCAAAGGTCCCGCACAGACTCTTCAGGCGCTCTCCACCAGCCAGTTTGCAGCTGAGACCGAAATCGCTCAACTTAATGTTTAGGTGGGCGTCGAGAAGCAGGTTTTCTAACTTTAAATCCCTGTGCACCACGTGCTGCGAATGGCAGTAATGCACAGCGGATAGAATTTGTTTAAATAGCTGGCGAATCTCTCCATCCAGTAGGTACCCTCGTTCTACCATGTAACATCTAAGGTCCCCCCTGACTGCGCACTCCATGAAAATGTAGCCCCTCTCTGTGGTGTGTCTGACCTGCAGTAGTTGAATGATGTGAGGGTGATGCAGCCCCTTCATTATTTCTGCTTCTGTGCACAACTGCTGGAAGCTGCAGGAGTGCTGGCCACCATTCTCCACAACCTTCACAGCCACCTGGGTCCTGCTTTCCCAATGATAGGCCAGGATCACCAGCCCAAAACCGCCCTGGCCGAGGACCCTGAGGACCTGGTACCCATCCAGGACCTCCTCCTCACTGGTGAAGGCGGTGAGGCCTTCCATGGTGGGATCCCCACCCCACCCCCCACCCTGCACTCTGACACTACTAGTCCCCTAAAGTAACAACAAAAACTGTTTGGAAACAAATAGAAATCAAACGATCTAAATGGAAACAAAATTAACAACTCAATATGCTAATATTTCTACTAGATAATGCTAACTCTATGAACTATGGTATACTAATCACTAACACTGTATGAAAATTAAGAATTAAAAGTTATAAAACACACAGAATACTAAAAATGGTGATGTAAAGTGACACCAACTATGGTAACTATGGTAACAATGCTAATCAATAAGTCTTATAACAGTCTTATCTAAATCAAAGGATCAAAAAATGAGAAAACAGTCAGAAAACGAGGAAACACAAGGAGGACAAAATCAACACAGCATCAAGTACATTTAGCCTGTGAAAGAAAAAACAAAAAATAAATAAATATTTACAGAAAATACAGAAGCACACAATGTAAAAATGGGAGGGGGAGAGTAATTGAAAAAATAGCAAAAAAAAAAAACAAAATAGAAGAAAAACTTAAAGAACCACTACGGTAAGGACAACTAATAGACGAGACAAAACAACACCACAAATGACAGGACAAGGGAAAACCAGTGATGTCGTCCAATCCTTCAGGCAGTCTCCACAGAGCTTCCTGGGCCAACTGACCAGAACTGAGCCCAAGCAGGGAACTGTTAAGGCAGTTGGAATGACATCACAATGGCCCCCTTGAGGGCAGAGGAGGCTCTAGACCAATCACAGCTGGGGACACACCAGGCTGGTTTTCTCAAGAAACTTTCTACTTGGTTAAAGAGAAAGGACCCCAAAAGCTTTTGGCTTAAGTTGGTGGTGGAGATCGGTATTTAGGATTTGATAAATTAGCACAGTCCTCTTCAGGCTTTTTCTATTGTTTCCATACACGTATAGAAGCACTGATCCTCCCAGTCTCTATTTCCACCCCCATTCCCACCCCCTTTTTCATTTCCTCTTGGTTCCTGTCCATTAAAGATGTCCAGTAAGAGGAGTCAACTGCTCATCTTAGCCCAGGCAGGGTCATCTCATTGTCCCAAAAGATTTCCAAGCTCTGCCATGGCTTGAACAGATGGTGGCTCCCTCACTCATGTCTACGTTCACTCACACACATATGTACTTGTATGTTCAAAAACAAAAATAGAGGCATGAAGGTGTCCCTTTAGAGGAATTGAGCATTTGCAAACTGAGTTCTGGTGGTGCTGCCCACCATCAGCCTGCTGCTCTGTTTGTCTTCTGAAGGTGAAACACTCGGAGCACATGGAGAGAATAGAAACAATGTTGCTGGAGACGCTGCACAAACAAGCCAGGCTTCCTTCCCCATAGAACAGCAGGTTACAGCCTCAGCCTCACTCAGCCCCTGTCTTCCTCCTGAGGGAGAAGTCCTGGGGAAGGTAAGGGACCTATTGTCGCTCCTCCAGGCTCCTGAGTTCTTGCAATGCAGACTGTGAAACGTGTTTATGAGATCTTCAAAATGAAAGTGGTGTTGTTCTCACTCTTGCTCTCTCCATCCCCTTCTCTCCCCTTCCCTCCATTTCTCCCCGCAGAAAGTATGTCTTTCAAATAGATTAATTACATTTTTAAGCTTTTGTTAATATTTAATTGTTTATTTATTTTTAAAGATTTTATTTATTTGAGAGGTAGCGTTACAGTTAGTGAGAGGGAAAGACAGACAGAGAGGCCTTCCATCCACTGGTTCACCCCCCAGATGGCTGCAATGGCCAGAGCCGCGCTATCAGGAGCCAGGAGCTCCCTCCCGGTCCCCCCCATGGGTGCCTTCGGATGCCCTCACCCACGTGCCCAGCCTGAGTTCCGGCTGCTCGGCTCCGAGGCAGCTTCCTGCTAATGCACCTGGGGTGCTCCCAGGCATGGTCATGCAGGAGACTCAGACGAGGCCCTGGCTCCTGCCTGGCCCAGCCCTGGACACATCCGGGGAGGGCACCAGCGGATGGAAGGTCCGTTACTCTCCTTCTGTGCTGCAGCGTCAGCGGGCTGGTGGAGCAGGGAGGTGCTACGGGGCCAACAGAGCGGGGAGCACGAAGAAGGGCAACAGGGAGTCCCCCAGAGCAGTGCAGGGTGCAGGGCCCCCCAGAGCAGTGCAGGGAGCCCGAGGGGGCCGGCAGGATGAAGGGAACCCCCAAGAGCAGTGCAGGGCCCAGCACCACACAGGGTTCAGGGGCAGCAGAGACTTCCTCAAGTTGCCCTATAGGATCAAACACAGCCTGCAGACCAGGCCTCCCTGGTGTAGACCAATCCCTCTGGGATGTAGAACAGCCCTCCCGGGTGTAGACCAGGCCTCCCAGGTGTAGACCAGGCCTCCCGGGTGTAGGCCAGGACTCCCAGGTGTAGACCAGGTCTCCCAGGTGTAGAACAAGCCCTCTGGGATGTAGACCAGACCTCCCAGATGTAGACCAGGCCTCCCGGGTGTAGACCAGGCCTCCAGGTGTAGACCAGGCCTCCCGGATGTAGACCATGACTCCCGGGTGTAGACCAAGCCCTCTGGGATGTAGACCAGCCCTCCTGGAGTCTAGACCAAGCCTCCCAGGGTGTAGACCTGTAGACCAGGCCTCCCAGTGTGCAGATGAAGCCCTCCCAGATGTAGACCAGGCCTCCCGGGTGTAGGCAAGGTGTCCCGGGTGTTGACTTGTAGACTAGCCCTCCTGGGTGCAGACCAGGCCTCCCAAGGTCTAGACCTGTAGACCCGTGCCCCCCCGGGATCTAGACCAGGCCACCGCAGTCTCCGAACTCACACACAAGCCCCTCGCAGGACCTGCTGGTGCAGCTGAGAAGGGAAACCCATTCTAGATGAGGAGCTCCTGGGACAGAGCCGCCGCAACACACGCTGCACCCCTGCAGGCCAGAGTATAGCAGAGGACAGCACCCCCACCACGTGGCAGAGCTGTGGCTCACACACTGCACCCCTGCAGGACAGGGGATAGCAGAGGACAGCATGCTCGCCTCGTGGCAGAGCTGTGGCTCACACACTGCACCCCTGCAGGCCAGAGTATAGCAGAGGACAGCACCCCCACCACGTGGCAGAGCTGTGGCTCACACACTGCACACCTGCAGGCCAGAGGATAGCAGACGACAGCACCCCCACCACGTGGCAGAGCTGTGGCTCACACACTGCACCCCGCAGGACAGAGGGTAGCAGAGGACAGCATGCTCGCCTCGTGGCAGAGCTGTGGCTCACACGCTGCGCCCCTGCAGGCCAGAGTATAGCAGAGGACAGCACCCCCACCACGTGGCAGAGCTGTGGCTCACACGCTGCGCCCCTGCAGGCCAGAGGATTGCAGAGGACAGCACCCCACCACGTGGCAGAGCTGTGGCTCACACACTGCAACCCTGCAGGCCACAGGGTAGCAGAGGACAGCATGCTCGCCTCATGGCAGAGCTGTGGCTCACACCTGCCCCATGTGGCAGCTTCATGGGCCACAACGGCGCCTCCAGCCACTGCTCACTGAGCCTCCTGCCATTGCATGGCACACTCTGCAGCAGGGGGCGTGGCTTGGCCCAGGCCATGGGATGCCTGGAACCCTCCTTCCTGTAGCTGACCCCTGGCAGGGTGGGGAGACGTCACACCCTGTCAGTCTCGTAGCAGGCCTGACTAGTGTGAGGTCAACACGGGGTCACTGGAATGTCCTCCAAGACACTGTCCCTTTCACCGTGGTGCGGGCAGGAGTGAGCACAGGCCCTGGGCAGGACAAGGGGAACTGCTGGCCTCCCAGGGAGCACCCGGCTCCAGTTCTCTCGTGCAGGGACAGCCCAGTTGTCCTACCCCAGGACTCAGGGCTCCCACTCAACACGTGCCGGCACTGGCACTCACAGTTGCACCACAGAGCCTCTGAGGGAGCAAGGAGGGCGCCGGGCTTAGGCTGAACACAGGAGCAGGGCCTCCCATGGCAGCACGGAGACCGGGGGGGGGGGGGGGGCTGGGACTGCTGCCCACCTGCCATGGCCTTCCCACACGTGTGCTACCTCCGAACCCTCTGTCACACTAGCAGCTAAAGGGACGGTGGTGCAGGTATGGTGCAGGGCCCCGACCCAGTCCTGGTGTACGAAGGCTTCTACAGAGTAGGGGGCCGGATTGGGTGGCTGGGTGGTCCGGCTGCAGGAAACCAGAGGGCAGAGGACCTGCTGCTGTCTGTGCTGCCTGACATGGCCTGGGCCCTTCCTCCTGGGGGATGGCCATGGCTGACCAGTGCCAGGCACATGTGGCAAGGCCCTGCCTACAAGCCAGCCACAGTCAGCCTGGGGGCCACCTGCTCCCGCGTGCACACCTACTGCAATTGGGGTGTTGTTTCTGGGCTCGCTGAGGCACGCAGGATCCGTCCCCAAGAGCCCCAACCTCCATCACAGTGGATGGGTGCAGCCCAAGGCCAGCTCAGTGGCAAGCTCCCCAGGGCCCGGGACTTTCTCCAGTGTTGGCCAAGGGCGGCCTCGGTGCGACAGCTCCTGTGTCGGTTACTCCAGATGAGCCATGCCCTGCCGGTGGCCCTCCCACTCCCATCCCGGGAATGGTATCCTCCCATGGACGTCACTGCGGCCTCTGCCTGCTGGGGTCACTCATCCACTGCGCCCCTGACCCTGCTGCACCACCCAGGCTCTGCGCTTCAAGACCTTGGGTCCTAGCTGGGAGCTCCTTTGTGGGGTGGCAGCCCCCGGCCCAGCCTCCCCCAGCCCTGCACCCAGCCTCTCCCAGCCCCCGGCCCTGCATCTCCCTGCCTCTGCCAGCCCCACCCACAGGAACTGAAAGGCAGCGACGGCCCCCAGGCTCTGCCTCCACACAGTGCTACACAACCCCACCGTGGACAGACACGCGTGGCCACATGGACAGACACGACAGGATCAGTGAAGGAAGCCGGGCACAGAAGCCAGCAGGCTCCTCTCCCACGAAACGTCCGGGGCAGGAGGCAGAGCGGTGCGGCCAGGACTGAGGGGCTGGGGTCCCAGTGGGCTCAGGGCTCCTCCTGGTGGGAGTGGAGGTCCAGGAGCCGGAAGGCACCCAGCA